CTGAAGTACCCAACTGGAACTTCACTCTGCAAGAAAAGCTCTGTTCCAAGTGTTTGCAGGACTTGTCTTGAAAGGTACTAAGGGACATGGGCTATCAGAGAGAGAAACTGTGAGAGTGGTGGGTAAATGACAGAGATAATTATAAGAAGGGGAGAAAGAAACAGGGTAATTGCTTTCCCATCTTATGTCCAATTTTGGATGGAAAAACCACATATGGCTTCAGGACAACGTCCATGTACTCGACTGTTTGACGTCAGTGCATTGTGACACCTCCTTGGCAGTGGATGCTCTCCTCTGCAATACCCCTTGTCTTCAGCTGCTCAGAGAATTATGAAAAATGCTCCTTTGGGGATGACTCGATCCCAGCTGAAGTATGAAATTCAGTGGAAAAGCTCACAAAGAACTATTTAGCAATTTTGCATTGACATAAATTGGGAAAATGTACTTTCTCCTTGGGAATGAAGAGTTGTCATGCTTGGATCAAGACAAAGAAACCCAAAAAGACAGAATCTTGAAAGAATAGCAAAGAAACAGCAGTTCCTCTCCACGCTCATCTCTGTAGACTTCTGCTAGCGTGCATGGACCAATACATGTGTCAACAAAACCACTGCCTTTAAACAGATAGACATACTCCCCAGCAGCACCACAGATGTTACATCTCTTCTCAAAAATCCCCAATCTATCTCCACATGGCTGAGACATTACCTAACTGATCTCAGAGGTGTTTTCCAACCTTAATGGTTCTATGATTTGGTGATTCTATGATCTCTCAACAGCACCTATGGACATGCTGTCCTTCCTTACCTGTCTTCTCCAAAACAATAAGATCACATAATCATAGAATCGTTTTGGTTGGAAGAGACCTTTAAAGTCATCAAGTCCAACTGTTAACCCAGCACTGCTGGGTCACCACTAAACCATGTCCCTAAGCAATTTCAGTAAAGAGGCTTGAATACAGAGAAAAATGTTACTGTCAATATGAGTTAATATAACAAATAGCTTCTTGGCTCAACCTTTTTTACATTTTTTGTTGTTTATGAGTCAAACAAATGGAAAGATACTTGGGGACCTTCTTTTCTGATTTTACAGAAAAATTTCTGTAGGCACATGAACCAGGAGACTGAGTCAACTGACAGCATTTATTACCACTTGTTTATTGCTTTTGATTTGTAAATGATTCAATCACTTGATCTGGAAGGAAAAATAATGCTGAACAATAACCAAAAAGCAAAGTGCACAAGTGTCCCTGAGTTCATGCATGCCTGCATCAGCACATGAATATATCATGCAGACAGAGAAACCACAATCTGTTTGTGAACAATTCCCAACCGAAAAAAAAACAGTCCTAACTTCACAGGATAACTGTTTGCAATGAATAATTCAGCTGCCTGTCAGATCCAGCTGGGCCCCATCCCTCACTTCACATTGAGCATCTCTTTTTTTTAGGTGTGATCAATGAACAGCAGCATCAGTTTGACAGGTTACAAGGCACGCTGCGCGTGCTGCTCACCTCAGCGAGCATCTTCCCCTGCACAGCCACCAGCGAGGGGGAGCAAGGGGAGAGGGAAAGCCCCTCCCCATGGGAAAGGAAATGTCTGAAGGACAGCTCTGTAAGTGACCTGCTACACTATCCTAGCATGTACATGTGGGAATCAGTGACAACATCACCAGAATCCACTCACCATACCCTATGTGTGGTATCAACCAAGGCTGTACGTTGAAATAAACCATTCTGAGCTGTGTTTCTGGTAGTTGACATACTTTCCAAAAATGTTTTGTGTGTATTGTCAACAATCCACCTTATGTTCTTGGTTTTGGCAAATCCCATTTCCTGCTCTCCTCTGCAGAAACTCCCGTACAACTCAGTCCCATCACTGAAGCCTCTTCCTCCACGGGACACAGCAGCAGCTGAGTTCCACTAAACTGCTGCAATGGCACCATAATAAAAACAATAAAGCCTGAAAATTCATTCCAGTTCCTTATACGAAGCACATTAAGTTTTATTCTAATAAGGCCTCTCTCAAAAGAAAATATTTAATGTGGAACACAATGGTAAAATTAATTGCCCAGGAAAAAAACAAACAAACTGCACAAACTGGTCTTTGTCTGCCCTGCCTGCTGACAAAGGCCAAGCAGGAGGGAACAGACAGTTAATTGTTTTCCAGATCATTGTGGCACATCTCCAAGAATCTGCACCTCCCTTTGCCTCGCCTGTCAGCCCTGTCCATGCCCCATTAAACACCCGGGCTGAGTTCATACTTTCTGTGGTGAAGGAAAAGAAAAAAGTTTAGTTGGCAATTTCCTGTAAGGGGGGAAAAAAAATATAAAATCTAACTTATTAGGGTTGTTTTTTATCAGGGATTATTTTCAAAGCAGACTTTGTAAAGAATGTGAAATATGTGGTGGTTTTGGAGGTGGTGAGGAAGGGTTTGCTCTGCACTCGTGCTACCTGTGCTGTGGAGCCCAGTGAGTGAGGCAGACCTACAATCACAGCTTCCCTCTGTGAGAGCTGGGTCAAACTTTTCTCCATTTTCCTGTAAAAGGAATTAAGAAGTACAGCTCATTCATACAAGAGAGAGGCCAACATCAACAGCTTTTATTTTATGCATTTAAAATTGCTCTTAGGCCTATTTACCCAAAAAGTGCTTTGAAGTGAAGAGGCATTTCTGAGGAATTAAAGACATGCAGCAAGTACTTGTGGATCCAGTTCCTTGAAGCCATACTTATCAACACCTTAAAGGGTTGAACTGTAGTGTATCTTGAATAAAAATAAAGTCCTGAAACATTTTATGTTGCTTTCCAACAACTCCTTGTGCTCTCATTTGCACAAAAGAAAGAAAAAAAAAAAGAAAAATACTACTATTAAAAAGAAATACACCCTGAATTATACCAGGTCATTAAAAACACCATAGCAAGGAAGAGCCCTTTCTCAACATTAAAACTGCAAAGCTGTCCCCACACTGTATTTTCAAATATCAAGATTGACAGAGATAGTTAATTTTTTTTAAACACAGAAAAGGCTAAACAGATTTCAATATTCTTCTGCTGGCACTGCCTCAAAAGACAAATAGCCAAACTGTAGCAAAGACATTTATTAAATCCAGCTTTTGCTTTTCCAAAAAGCAAATAGTTTCAGCAAAGTAAGAGGCAGTCCCAGCCAGATAAAGCAGGTAAAAATAATTTCAAGTATCGTGTTCCCATTAACCAGAATTACATGTCAAAGTGAACCCTTACATAGGCACAGAAGAATTCCCTTCTCTTTCTCAGCCGTCTGATTTTAAACTCCCTGCACTGTCTCCTGACTTTCACAGTACACCTTCCCCACCAGAGAAAAATGTGAGAGCAAACTTTTAAAACAGTTATACAAGTGTTTTTGTCTGCATCCAAAAGAGGCCTTACACCTATTTAAATTGGAAAACTGTTTCCAAAGCTCACGGAGGCCTTGAAACGTCCCATGTGTACTCATCAGTATATAATTACAAAGATAAGAGGTGACATAATCATTCTGTTAAAACTCCATTAAGCAGGCCTCCAAAGGCAGAAAAATCTCTTTATTTATGTGGTATTTGCTCTTTCAGACAGACATCACACCATGTAACCCATCTATCCAAAAGAAGTCCAATCTAAAAATATGGCAATCAACGGGATTTGCAAATCCTCCTTCTGGTATTGTTACAGCTGGTATTTTATTACCACAACTTAATCACCTTCAAGTAACATAAACCACTCTGGAAGGATCCCAAGGGTTATTTCAGAGTATTTTTAGTATTTCTCTTTTAATCAACATCAGAGTCTCCTTCTTCCCCCCAAGCAGATTTTCTCCTGAAAAGTGTATTCTACCAGCAAAAAAACGAGGTGGAAGGGAGGCAAGCATTCAGCAGATTAAATAGCTGGTCAAAGCTGAAATCACTTTTTGCAACACTTCAGGGTCTCTGGAAGGAATTTGATACCCCCACAATTATTCACCATTTTATTCCTTCCAAGCTGCAGAAATAACTGCCATGCACTGGATATGCCCTATGATTTAGTCTGGTTGTCATGGTGTAACATTTAAGCCAGGGTCTGCAAAACTCTGTGGCTTGTTATCGGTTGCTGCAGACGGTCTCTCTCCTAAGGATGGGAAGCTCCAGGGCAGTCTCACAGCCCGAGAGGCACAATGTGACAGCAACTGCTGCTGCTGGAAGTCACCCACAGCTGTCTGCTCAGCCGCCCGCAGCAGCGACACGTGTCATACAAGGCTGAGCAGCAGCATTCACCTGGAATGACTTCGGTTTGTCTCTCTACCTTCTAATAAGTATTTCTGTAGCATCCTGACCTCACTTCCCTTGTGCAAAAAAACACGTCTTAAAAACTCCCTTCCAGCTTTGCCATGCCCTCCCCAAGAGCAGCATGGGCTTGGTCTGGCAGGGACAGGGGCACTACTGAGCAGTGCTGCTGAAAGGTGTCGGGGAGAGCTCAGGGACAGGGGCACTACTGAACAGTGCTGCTGAAAGGTGGCAGGGAGAGCTCAGAGACAGGGGCATTACTGAACAGAGCTGCTGAAAGGTGGCAGGGAGAGCTCAGGGACAGGGGCATTACTGAACAGAGCTGCTGAAAGGTGGCAGGGAGAGCTCAGGGACAGGGGCAAAGGTTAACAGTGCTGCTGAAAGGTGGCAGGGAGAGCTCAGGGACAGGGGCATTACTGAACAGTGCTGCTGAAAGGTGGCAGGGAGAGCTCAGTGTTGCCTGGGAAGGGCCCCGCCCTCTTCTGAGGGGAGCCAAGCAAAGGGGAGCACCCACATCCCCAGGACCCGCCAGTACCTGCTGAATTGCTGCTATTTTTGTAAACAGAGCCTTCAAGTGCCAACCTGTGCTAGCCACAACCATACTTCAAGAAAGAACAACAACAAAAAGCCCACTGTGGCGTTTTGGTGACTCGAGGACAATTTTCCACAGCCAACTCATCTGAAGAGCCTCATTCATGGGCATGTGAAGGCCACCTGCCCGTTCAGGACACCTACCAGGTCATAGGCGGCGAGGACCTTTTTCTGCACGTCGGGCATGGTGCCCAGAGGCTCTAGGTAAGGAAAGGCGTCCCTCATGCAGAGGGTGACGGAGGGGGCGTTGTCAGCGCCGACGAGCCGCGAGGACAGGGTCAGGATGCACTGCTTCAGGCTGGCGATGGGCGGCAGCCCGCACAGCTCCTTCACCGACACCATGGCGTTCTGGGGAAGGAAGAGAAACACTCCAGCACACGACACTCACTTGCCACTCGGTCCCCTCTGCCTGCCAGTACCTCGTCCCCACTGCTGCGGGGCAGCGCTACTCGCTGCCCACCGCCCCTCGGCCCCCGGGGTGCTGGCGCACGCTGAAATTCCCAGCCAGCCCCCTCTGCTCCCCCTGCTGCTTCTCCAGCTTTCCCCCAGGCCCGGGCATCCCAGCTGCCAGCTCTGCAGCTACTTTGCATTGCAAATCCAGCCCCAACAGGGACGAGCTCTGGTCCCCAGCATATTAAACCATCAGCCTAAAATGTTATTTCTCTACCCAACTGTTCAGACTCCAATTGCTTTTGATGCTGTAATCGCCTCATTCTCCCGTCATTATCATCCTCCAGCAAGAACAAGTTCGACAGACCTCATATTTCCCATGGGAAAGGCAAGCAGGAAAAAACCACTCGTTTCCAGCGTTGCATTACCACATCATAAAGAAACACAAACAATCCTTCCCCTTCATGGGTCACATGTAAGAAAAATCAATACTGGATGTACAGGTCAAACTAAACTAACATGCCAGGATTTATTTATTTATCAACTCAGAGGATGTATGGCTGACATGCCCTCATCATTTAGCTTCTTGAGTCATACAATGAGTGACTACATGCACAAAATCCAAGCAAGAGAATATTTTAACAACTCATACCTTGTGAATGTTCCCCCACATCTTGCTGAAAAAACAGTCCAGAAAATGCCCAGCTAATTGAGACTTTTCTCATTAATCAAACACATTAGTGTGCAGTTAAATCTAACGACTCTATCTTTATGAAGCATTCCCCAGGAGAAAAGATCTTGTACTGGAATTTTGCTTGTAAGGCACATTAATGCTGTCTCCCAGTTATTTTCTTTTATATACTTCACATATAGTGCCTGACCTACGGACAGAAGGTGGAGTCATCTTAAATGACTGTCACAGCCTGCAGAAAAGAGAAGGCTGGGAAGAGTTTCCCATTCTTAAAAATATGCTTGAGACTATTCCTTCGGGAGTGGTTTAAAACTTATGTCATTTTGTAAACTTTTCCAGCTGCCAACACTTAATTTGCTTTAGACTCCGTCCAGAAGAGCGGGGTCAATGAAGTGCTATGCGCTCTTCTCCTGTTTTCAAGGAAGAAAAATGAATTGTTTCTGTATCTTTACCAAGGAGATTGTTATGGCTGATTTCAGCTATTTATTAAAGAAAATTCATTGTTTAATGCTACTCAGTTTTGTTTCCAGGCAGCGCCTGGACGTCTGAATTGAGCCGCCCCTTAACGAACCCGCCGAGACTCCTCCGCCATGGAGCAGAGCACCAGGCAGGCTGGTTCTCCTTTGGTCCTGCTGCCACTTCACCTCCTGCCGACCACGAGGGTCCAACCCAGCTGCTGTGAGGGTGCTGGGCACCTGGGCCAGACGTGCCTGGCCGCAGTGGCCTCTGGCTGCTCTCGGAGCAGCATGGGCGGGTGGATGCGGTGCTGGGGACACAAATGTACCCTCAGTTCTGCTTTCGCAGACAAAAATGAGCAGTAAAGCGTGCACACAGAGAGGGCATATTGATTTTTAAAACGTTTCTGTCTAGACATTTGGTTGTTTGTTAACACCTGTAACCTTCAGCCTTACGATATCCAGTTAAAGGCTGACGATAGCTGTGGGTGTGGAGCTTCACCCGCCTCCACCAGCTTCAGCAAGTCTGCCCCACCAGCAGCAACACCGGGACCTCCACCCCCACCCTCGGGACACCCCAACGCGCACAGCAGTCGTGCCATACCTGCATGTTTTCTCTCATGTCCGTCGCCTCTCGTAGAGGGTGCACCGCCAGCTTAAAGATGTCATCGATGGTCTTGAGGCCGGTGTTCCTCAGCATGGTGTACTCCCTGGCCTTCTTCCCGATCCTCACCGAGAGGCTGCGCTTCTGGGCCTTCCCGCCTCCGCTGCGGTTGGTGAGGGCGATGTGCACGAAGAGCGTGACGTGCTCCATGATGTCGCCCACGAAGGAGCGCAGGGGGATGTGCCTGTAGCCGGGCTGCAGGCACTCCAGGGGGATGGTGTACTGCCCGATGAACTCGTCCCCGATGTAGTCGTCGTCCAGCACGACGAAGCGGATCATGGCCAGCTCGGGCAGGTTGATCTGGAACTCGAAGCTTTCATCGAAAATGGGGTTGTCGCTGTTCTGCTGAACGGTTTTAGTTCTTTGCTCGGTGCAGTCTGCGGGAATGCCGTGTATCTCTATGCAGACGTAGGGGTCTATGACATCCCCTTTTGCACACGCGCCCTTGGGCTTCGGAAAGTTCTGACCACTGATTATTTTGACATGTAGGACTTGGGGAGAGACCCCCGGCACAATGCCCTTGGTGTTTGCGCTGAAGTAAGACACCTCGTCACGCATCACCGAAGGCCTCAGAACGTATCCGCATCCCCCGTTCTGTAGGAACCAGCCAGTGTGTAGGTCCATCATGGGCCCCGGGGTCTGATAGTTCATTGCCACTATCTGGCAACCACAGTTCCAAAAATCTTGAGGATTTAAGTTACTGGAGTCTATCCTCATAGCACTGGGGTACACCCTGGACAGAAACTTTTTGTTGTAGTTGACAAAATCTTCAGGGTACTCGTTTGCAATCCGACTGGCTTCCGCCTCACTGAAGGAGCACATTTCCCAATAGTTTTGAGATTTCATAGATGTCTCAAAGTCTTTGTATCGGACAGACTTGCACAGGGACACCACGTCAGACAACTCCCTGCAGAGCCAGATCAGCTTCGGTTCCCTCGAGAAGTCCTCTGACAGTCTCCGGGATATTTCAGCCTCCTCATCTTCATCCGTGACTTCTCCTTCTAATATATCCTGGTCACAGGGCAGCTTCTTCCCCTTCACAATGATCTTCATCTTCAGTTTCTCGGGTGACGGGAGGTAGGCTTCCGAGGATAGAGGTGCCTCCGTGTAGAGCTTGTTTCCAAAGATCCTTTTCATGTGCTGTACCACTACCTTCTGCTGTTGTACTGAGCAGTGGTTGCCCAAGCAGAGAATAAGGGGGTATTCTGAAGCAAAGAAGGCCAACTTGTTTATTACCTCAATAACGTTTCGGAAGGCAAGTGGAGCAGTCATGTTGTTGCGGTTACAGATAATGGGCTCATTATCTGGGCCATCACAGACGTCTAGTTCAATGCTCCGACAGCTCATCTTTAAAGCTCTGACATAGCCATTGATATCAGCTGGCCCTCTGAGCTGGTCTTCTATTAGATACGTATTGTGGGACGCATTGATGTAGTAATGTGACAAAGGCTGTGTCATGTCTTGGACAATTTTTTTGTGCTCTGGGTCAAAAATATCACACTCTGGGGACAGTAAGTATTGAGTAAATCCATCAATCGCAAGGAAACCTTTCAACCGCCCTTCTTGGGAGAGCTCATACCTGCGTATAATATCTAGACACATTTCTTCTGTGATGTGGGTCACTCCTTGCTCAGCCTCTAAAAACAGCATGAGGTCATTGGCATCTAGATACTCTTTGTTTTTAGAGATCTGCACGAGTAAGAAATAAACTTCAGGTCTTGTGCAAAGTTCACAGAACGCTTCACAAAACTCCTCTTTCGTTACTCGTGTTGTCAGTTTCTCTTTGCTCTTCTGGATTTCCTTAAATTTTAATCTAATCTTTGATTCCTTTAAGGTGGGGTTAAGCTTCTTTATTAGCTCCACAGATGTATCTTCTAACATGATGCCATTACCATCAACATCTGCTGCTTCAAACACAGCTTTTAGCCAGGCAAACCGGGGGGTATTATGGCTGCTTTCCATCAAATCCAGGGGTTGTTTGCTACGAGAAACCAAGTACCTTAACCCCGATACCCAAATATTGGCCACATCAGCTGAATTGGCAACTAAGTCAAGAGACTCATAGTTCTCACCATGAATTATCGACAGCGCACAGTCCTCAGAAATCTGGTCTGCAAGACCATTATTCCTGAATGTTTCTGTGTTCTTCCCTAGTCTGATTTCTTTTATAGCAGAAATATCAAGCTTGGCTTTGTCAAGGTCCTTCTTGGAAGGCTCCCAACGAAGAGCCTGCAGGTCAGGATCCAGTGTAAAAAAACGGTTATAAATCCGGGAATTTGGACGAACTTTCTTCAATTCACACCCAGCCTGCATGAAGCTGATACAGTCACTGGCGCTGCTTATTTTCTTCTCTGATGGCATGCTGCTGAAGGACACTGTTTTCTTTCTTCCACATTTTTGGTTTGAAGGATCCTGTGAAATAATTACAGAAAAAAAATGAGTACGTTTCCTTTGGTCGTTCCACAAATGCATAAATAATAGAGGAAAATATGTTTATGTAAAGATAATTCATGTTCTTCTGAACCTCAAAACACAACATATAATCCCTTCCCACAATTCAGTTCCCTACTGAACTATAAAATATACTGAGCTACACGACTTGACTGACTGCAGCATTAGAGATACCGAGTTTTCACGCGTGATGTTTGCAGCTATTCAACTGCCTTGCAGATCTCAGCTGCCAGGAGGTGGTATCTGCCTGTCTCACACACTTTCAAAACAGATATATACAGGAAGAGAGGTTTCATGGGAAGCTCCAGCACCTGGTTAAGGTCTGCATAAACTGCAGTGGGGTGGCTTTCACCAGGATTTAAGAGATACCATGAATAAAGGAGGAACTTTGGGATAAAAAGGCATGAGAGAAGAGGCTCAGCCTACATGGGAAAAGGGACGAAGTCTCTGAAACAGTGCTGGGAGGAGAGCCTGGGGTGGGTCAGCATGTCTGTGGAGCATATATGATATGTTGGTGCTTGGCAGATGAGTGTCCTGCTTCAATTCTGCAGCCTTGAACACCTCAGTCAGAACTAAAACCAAAGCAAACAACAGCCATGCATCAGCCCCCTGAGATACACATCCAGGAGAACCTCAGCTTTCTTCTCTGTGTACTTCAGTGTCCTTTGGCCAAGGATGTTCTCTCTAGGCTGAGAAGCCCATCTCTGCTGCATGCACGATCTCACAGCTCTCATGGCTGCTCTTGTGGGAGCCCCATGGACCCCTCTGCTCAGCCCTAACCTATTTCAGGCTCTCTTGTCCCCCATTTGCTTTGAAAAGCAGCTGTTCTGGCCATTTCTGTGTACCAGGACCACAAAACACTGGGGGAAAATGAACAACCAAGCAAGAAATCAGTCTCTTTCTTAGGGCAGATATTCTAACTCCTCTTGAGAACATCCTTAGCCAGACATGACTGTTTTTTCAGCATCAACTACCTACTTGCTGCTGGATGTAAACTCAGCTGCCTGCAAAGCTTTCTGTAATGTCAGTGCAGCAACCAAAGTTAAATCTTTTCCCATGTTATCAGTTCAAAACGTTTCATAATAGTTCTAAGTTGCAAATAATTTTTTTCTCTACACGATTTCCATCTACTTCATTAATACATAAACTATCCAACATCTACCAAAAATACTTTGAAAACATCATTCAAGGCTGTAATTAACAGTGAAACGCTGGTTAAAATGGCTTTCCCTCCTGATTTCCCTATCCACCAGCAATACTTCTCCAGTTCTCTGCCTTCTGCTTTTGAATGGACTTTTGCTGCCTGGATTTTGAGTAGAAGAGGAGCCCCAAGGTGAGGAAATGTTGACACAGCTCCTGCCAATTCTAAATGCAACCCCTGCTCTAGCAGTGCTCTCCATCCACCCATCTCTGCTCTCTGTGCTCAAGCAGGACCCCGTGGAGCTCTCCCAGCCACAGAGCATCAGTCTTGGTGCTTGTAAGAACATCTCCACTCACTGTTTGCATGTTTGTATAGATATTTTCAGTAAATTAGTCAATATAAACGTTTCTACAAAATTGCTATTGTTATTCACCCACTTACTTCAATAACATCCAGCATATTTCCCAAATCCCAACCCTCCAACAACTGGATTGAAAGGTATGGGATCTGCTGGGACCAAAAATCAAAAACTCTAAAATTCTTATGCTAAAGATTTCTCATTTAACTGATACAGCAACTTGTACTGACAAGAATAATTACTCTAGCTATTTATTGTAGTACTTATTATGAGAATTGGTCTTAAAAAAACAGGAGGAAAGTCAATGAAGCAAGTGCCTTGGGTCAGCTACTTTTTAAATTACAGTTTTCTGCTGAAATATTCTGTTCCTGCATCATCATACTGCATTTTAATGCACAGCTATGGCCATGAAAGTCTTCAAGCAATAGCTGTTAATGAATACAAACGAATACAGCAGATTACCTTGTGGGTTCTAGAAGAGCCTTTTCTGTTTCTTCAGGTTTAGGAGCAATATTTAGACTTAAGACTGATGGCTAATTAAGATTATTTTTTTCCTCATACAGGAAAACATATTAACAGCCTTTGAATCTGCAGCGATTCACTCCTTGACACAGAGTGGTTCCTCAGGGCCAGATCTGGGAAGCTCATCAGAGCAGCATCACTGACTTAGCTGCAGGTCTGCACTTTGTCTTTGCTACAGAGGCAGGAACTGTTATGTGGCTAATTTTCTTCTGCAGAAAATAAAAGCCAGTTATTTTTAGGTGCAAGTTACCTGTGCTTTGTGCTGAAAATAAGCCACAGAATTAATGAGCTATTTTTTAGGTACGATGGTGGGAAAAAAACTAATTGGCCCTGTGAAGGTTCAACAAAAATTTCCTTTTAGCATTCAGTCTTAACCTCTCTGGAGGGAACTAGATTACCTTCTGTGTCCTCCTTCCCTGCTTTTAGTTTTGATGGATACTTCTGTTTCATACTTGGTGATATGTAAGGAACATCAGAATTGCACAACAGCAGTTCTTCATTTCCAAGTAGGACTTCTCCATATCTTTTAATCAATTGAACAGAATTCAAGTCTAACTGATGGAATAAATGCCTAAAATTAACAAGATTTGAGTATCATTGACAATGCTATTTTAACAGACACTAACAATCTCCCCAATCTTCTGTAGAATATACACAAACCCTGCAAAACTGCAATAGCTAATCAAAGTTATCACTGCATCAACTATTCCCCTCTTGGTCTTTACAGAACAGGAACATACTCAGTCTTTCAAAGTGAGAGCTGCTAATTTAGATTTCATGTGACAATTTTCATTCATAATTATCAGGAACTTTCTAGATCTAGTGTTGCAAAATGTGTTTCTGTAAGCTCATAAGCTGTCTTCTCAGCCTGACAAGCCAGGCACTCCCCTTTGTTCTAGCATGTTTACACTGCTTGAAGGAGCATCTCTAGATCCTGACACCCCAGTTTAGCCAGGCCACACATCTCCAGGTCCAAGGGATCACCCTGGGGAGCAGAGGAGTGTTTTCTTTAAGAATTGTCCTCCCTTCACTGGGGTCCACTCACATCAGAGCCTGGAGAAGATGATTTACATACACTTGGACTCCCTGTTTTACTTTTTGCTCCATTTTACCTTTCATTGGATGCTAAGAAGAGGAACAAGTACAGCCACCTGGCAAACTAAAAGCCAACGTCTTATGTGAATAAATAGCAAACCTGATCTTTTCTGTTACCTGCCAAAAACATTCACACTGCAAATAATCAGAAAAACTCTCTACAGTATTCACCCACACAAGAGCACTTGTTCCCCTTCATTAACCAAAGCAATCAGAAAGCACAATGATCTCATACTGCTGAATCTTGGAGGTGAAAAGTCTATCCTTCTCCAAGATGCTAAGTGCATCAAAATTGATCTTACCACCCAGTAACTGGCCTAGGACTGCCTTTTATCCTCAGTCACTTGTACTGGTGACACTGAAATTATTGTGGCAATGAAAGGAAAGGATGTCATTTGCCAAAAAAAAAAAAAAGAAATCTACATCGGCGTGAAAACAAGCAATTAACTTGGAGATTTTTCACCCTAAAAGCTTCTCTACCAGAGATAACCCAGGTCCATACTGGAAACAAACACAACCAGTTTGTGTGCAACGTACATGTGAAAAAAGAAAATCCCTACTTATGTAGGAAACCTTGTGCTTTCCAAGGCAAGACTCTTCTTTCAAAGTGACTCCAACTATGGTTTAGTTCAGTTTGTTGGACACCCTCTACCAATGCCCTGACTGGCTGACTCCATCTCCTGCTCCTGAGCCTCCATAATATTCATTATGCACAAATACCTCCAGATGTCCACCATGAGACCACTTCAACACGTGCTCAGCTTTCAGCATACACACAGCTGCTCTGAAATCAGTTAACCCCAAGGAGATGTACCCGAGTGCTGGCCTGACAGCATCCTAACATTTTCCAAACGTTTCAAAAGGAGGGATTCAGAGCTGCAGCCTAAGCACGCTCCCAAAATAGGAGAAGCTCTCCTGTTGAACACATCATCCTCGTCAGAGGGACTGGATGTGTAAACAGTGGGATCAGCAAACCATCAGCAGTTGTGGGAAAACTCCACCCCATCCACCCTGACCTTTGACTGCTCAATCTTCTGCTGTTTAAATCAAAGAGCTAACAGAAATAAATACGTGGGATTAAAAAAATATGAATAAACATGCTCTCCACCTCATCCCACCCCCTTTGTCAAACTATAGGACATAAACTGTTGAGCTGAAGTTGAGAAACAGGACAGTAATAAGAGCTGTACAGCAACCCTGCACATGGAAGCCAAGGTCATGAATTATGATTTGTCTGAAATCGCCTCTAAAGCATCAACAGCCCTCCAGGATTCTGGAAGATGAGAAGGGCAAAAAGCACCATTTACACAAAGATACCAAAAACCCTCAAGGAGCTGTAGGGCTTCTGGGAAAGGATGTGAAACTCAGTAATAATGCTGAGAGCTAAACTTGTGAAGCGTGGTTAAGTACCATTTCCCCAAAAAACAATTCACATTTCCACCAGTTAAGTATCACCACTGCTGAAAGAGAAGTTTTATTCTGATCTCTGCTATTTCCTATGAACCTAGCACCGAGAAATCAGAAACAGGCAGTCTGGCCTCACAGATTGACTGTAATAAAAAATGCATCCTAAAATCTATCTGCTCTGGAAACTCCAGATGATCCCACTTAATTGGCCAACTGATTACCTGATTAATTTCCTCCCAGGAGAAACTAATTCAATTTACAGGGTGAGGTTTTTTGGGATGCTTCTAGGAATTTCAGCCATACACAGACAGAATTCCAGTCCCCCACAATTTTAAAGCTTTACAGTACTTGTGGTGGGAAAATGTCATCTTAAACATTAAATAAAGAAGTCAGTGAGTCACTAGTAGCACTCAAAGCACTATCTAGTAGGCT